CGCACGGCGAGAGGGCGCGAGGGCGCCGAGGTGGCGGTGGCGGCGGCGGCGGCGGCGGCGGCGGCGACGGGGAGGGGCCTGCGGAGCCCGGGAAGCCCGAGTGGCGCCGGGCACTTTGGGGGCGCTCGCGGCAGGCGGAGGCGCGGGTCCGAGACCAGGAATCCGAGCTGCGCTGTTAGAGCACGGGGTAACTGGGGAGATGTCATCCGAGGGCCTGCTCCAGACGGGCAGGATAATTATAGTCCCTTCCTCCTCCTCCTCCGCACGGGATGCTGGCGCAGACTTGTGATCGAGCCCCGAGTGGATTGCAGCGCACCGTCGAACTCGAGTTGAAGGCGGCCGGGCAGGAGGGTGGGCAGCCTGGCCTGTTGGGGAGTGGGGAATTGAAGAACAGGAAGCCACCCGCCCACCCCGCGAGAGTTTCCCAGATCACTAGGGATTGTAGTAAGATTCGGAAACCAAGCTTCCAAGGTACTCGCTGTGCTAAAAATAACTTTTATAACTTCTAAAACACTGACGCATGGGCAGGAGGACACTTGACAGCATGTTATTGTTGAGGAGCTGTAATTTTGTTGTGTTATAACAATGTGACATGATGACATTTCGTGTTGTGATGTTGTCATCACTTAAACACAAACAGATGACAAGAATCTGGTGTAGTTAAAAAAAGCAATCCTAACAAGAGCTGTGACCATTAGCTAGTTTATAGTCAGAGTACATATTGGGTATGAGCCCAAATGAGGACAAGACGTACAAAATTTGCAAGGCTCTTTGGTTTCATGAGCAACATTTTTTTTTATATAGAAATAATTTTGCATATGAGAATCACAACAGGAAAGTACTAGGACAGGTCTAAAGTTTTGGGTTTTTTTTCTTTTGCTTTATTCTTTGTACTTTTCTGCTGTTTCCAAAGTTTTGCAATGAGTATGTATTACTTTCACATCAGAAAAGTTTTGTGAGGCACAAGATTGCAACTGCATTTTTTTTGACCTCAGATAAAGTTCTTATGAAAAAAGACTATTTTGAAATATTATTTTTAAAGTAATATTTTCTAGATGTTTAGATATGTACAGCAAAATAACGTGCATAACTGCAATTATTAACCTTAACTCCAAGATTGTATCTGGTCAGAGCAGAACAGAACATTTAGGGGTAACATTTCATTTTCACTGAAACGTTCAGGCATCATGAAGATGAAATGTCTGACAAATGGCTTAATCTATAAAATGATGACAAATGTTAACTCCCAGTGGATTTGACTCTATATTATTGAATACTGTATTATGTAGTGCTTAAAAAATGAAGTTAAGTTTTACTTGTTCTATGATCACTTCTCAATTACCCTTGGTAATGGAAGACAAAACAGTTACAGATAATCCAAAATTCTAAATTTAGCACAACAGCTGAGACCAAATAACAGCTATTGTAAAAGACTTACTGGGTGAATAGGCAACAAGATCTGTGGTTCAGCCCCTCTCCCTCTACCTAGTTTGCAGTAGATATAAAGACAAGAAAAATGTTGACAGCAGCCAAGAATATTGAATATGTGGGGTGTAGTGGCTCATGCCTGTAATCCTAACACTTTGGGAGGCTGAGGCGAGAGAATTGCCTGAGACCTGAGGTTCGAGATTAGCCTGAGCAACTTGGCAAGACCTCATCTCTAGAATAAATAAAAAAATCAGCTGGTCGTGGTGATGCTCACCTGTAGTTCCAGCAAGACTGAGGCAGAAGGTTCACCTGAGCCCAGTAGGTCGAGGCTGAAGTGGCCGCAAGCATGCCACTGCACTCCAGCCTGAGGGACAAAGTGAGACTCCAACTCAAAAAAAAAAAAAGGCTAATCTGTAGCACAAACTATTCTCTTTTAAATAATCAAGTTTTAACAGCAAATGGGTAAATGATATCAACATTTGTTAGACTAACCTGAAATTTTTAAATTAATAATCTTAAATCTGTTTAAAAAATTGAAATCATTATAGCAATAGAAAAAGTGTTTAAGAGGTTTATTTCTGACTCATTATGCAAATTGTTTTATTCAGGAAACACACACTTACTGAGTTCTGCCTGCTAGGTACATATTAGTTTCTGAGAACACAAAGGCCACCAAAACCAGAGAGGGTCACTGCTCTCATAAAGCTTATAGTACTATTACAGTTGGATGGCCATGATCAAGACACATTCTACAGCTTTAGTTTCACCTATAAAATGAGGTATGTAGGCAAGGAGCAGACTCATGCCTGTAACCCCAGCATTTTGGGAGGCCGAGGTGAGAGGATTGCTTGAGCCCAGGAGTTCAAGACCATACTGGACAACATAGGGAGACCCTCATCGCTACAAAAAAATGAATTTTAAAATGTTTAATGAGGTATTTAGAATGTAACAATAAATTTCCCTTTTCCTTTCTAATTATAAAACAATCCTATAATTGTATAAAACATGTCCAGAGTGGCTGGAAGTAAGGACCTAACATGGCGACTTACTCTAAGTGTTGGTGGTTAGTGTCTATTCATGCATCAGGGAGCCCAAGCAGAGCAAGTATCTCTAGTTCCTACTGGGTGAGGGGTAAGGTTGAGTGAAGCAAGGAAGTCAGATAGCTGGTAGGAACCTTACCCTCTTTTCATCTGATATGCTCTCCATTTTACTTTCCCCTAGTGTTCCCATGCCATATGAGTAGTTAATTGCAAAAAAGTTAACTCATCTTCAGCAAGGAAATTATCCCCTCAATTTTAGGGGTTTTGTTGAAGTAGGCAGTGTATAAAACTGTATTTAATGATTATCTCTGTTATTTGACTTACTAAGGTAATAAGGATAACTTGTTTGCTTGCTTTATTAATACAGGGCTGTTACTGTCACCATAATGATGAACCTGCTCAGGCTACCAGAATGAACTCTATCAGAGCAGACAGTGGTATCATTTTCTTTCTTGTATCCCTAACACCTAGCAAAGGACCTGACACAAAGTAGGAGTTCAATAAATGTTAACCTTTGTATTGTCTAATAAACTTTTCTTGTACCTGCCTAGAATTTGTAACCTATAACTGGCTGGTATTTTCTCCCTAATGAGATAAAGCTAGAGACTTGAGAACACAACTGTATTTGTGAAGGATACATCTTCATCATATTTTATATTGTCTCATAATAGCTGGAACCTTTTGTGGGTTTAAATGTGCCCCTGAAAAAAAAAAAAATTTAAGTCCTACCCCATTCCTCACCTGTGACCTTATTTGGAAATAGTCTTTGCAGATATAATCAAGTTAAGATGAGGTAGGCCTGGGTTAGGGTAGGTTCCAGATCCAAGAATAATGTCCTGATAAGGAGAAAGAGATTTGAAAACAGGTGACAGGAGACACAGTAAATTTAAAAAATAAGTCCTTTTATACTTGTTGAAACAAGATAAAATGCAAACTATCTTTTCCATCTCTAAATTGTTTCGAATTATTCACTTAAACTCACTACAGTTAATTTTTAAGAGAGAAAGATCATGGAGTCATTGCTAAGGTATTGGCTTATGTAAACAGCCCTCCACCTTCCTCTAAGTCGGTTGGCTGGTTTGTCCTTTTTTAAGGCTCCTGTTTGTCTACCTTCTGTAACCACAGGTATAAGGAAGTAAAAAGTAATTAATTCCTTCTGATTCCTGCCTGCAAAAGTGATTGTATACTTAGAAATACAAAGATCTCTAAACTTTAAGCTGCAGAAACCTTTAATTAATCTGAAGATTTTCTGAGTTGCTGGAGGTCTCTAAATCATCAAAATGTAAGTCTTTTAAAAATTAGTAATAATTGCTGCTTTGTGATAGTGCCTATGCTGTGCATTTCACATATGCTATATATTTGAGCCAAAGAGAGTAACTATTTCTTAGATTAGGAAATTGAGACTCAGAGAGACAAATAATTTTCCTAAGACTAAAGTTAATAAGTGGAAGGTGCCTGCTTCCTGAATGAACTAATTGAATTTCCATTACAACATTTGGAAGTAGGTTAAATAATTCCAATTTTTTTTTTTTCTGTCGCCCAGGGTGGAGTGCAGTGGCATGCTCAC